GGCTAGTGTGACTGGGTTATTGAGTGCTTTCTCCCCAAACTATATGTTATTGATGACTCTCCGTGGTTTGGTTGGTTTTGGCCTAGGCGCCGGGCCTGTATTCTTAACCTGGTTTTTAGAATTTGCACCTGCTTCCAATAGAGGCATGTGGATGGTTGTCATATCAATTTTCTGGACACTAGGAACTATATCTGAGGCTTCACTTGCTTGGGTTTGTCTCTATTTCCTACATCATTTCCTTTTGTTTGGTTGCTTGTGTTTTGAAACCTTATCTTACTTGTAATGAAGCATCTCTATCTCTATCTGTCTATGTTTACTATCATCAAGGGTATAACTTGTTTGTAGGTATTATTAAGTTTCCAAAATTTTGATCTTTGCTTTTTTATTTTATTTAGCTTTGTCAGCAGATTATAATTGGTCTTTTGCTTCCTCTTCATTATCTGTCAGACCATCAGATTGCTTTAAGTTAGGAATTTGGTGTGTGAACTCAACCTGCTTTCCTGGGAGGGATCGCTGTTTCTTATTTGTTTGCAAATAGAAAACTCTCGATTCATTTGAGTTTGATTTGCCATTGGCATCATTAATTGTGTATTAGAAGGAAGTCGTTAAAGCAAATTATGTACTTAGCTGTATATAACCCTTTGCATTTATTCATTTTCTTAAAATTCATCCTATATTCTGCTCAATAGCACATAAAATATAATTTGATAGTGGTAACCATGCGGGACTGCATTATTTCATATGGAAATATATATTCTTCCTCTCATTATATGACACAGCAGTTGACATCCCTTTCAGTATGAAAAGAAAGAAACTAAAAGAAAAAAATAAATAAGGAAAAAAGACTCTTTAAGCACAGAACAGAATCACACTGTTGTGTCCCGTCCAAACCCATCAAGTTGCTTGAAGTACACTTTCTGAAATGACCTTTCAATGCCGTGGAACCTTGGTTTTCTAGAAAAGATTGTGGCTGACAAATGGATAAACTGGTAAACATATTAGCTGCAAATCACGAACTTATCTTCAAGGCAGGAAACTAAAGATGCTTAGTAGTGTTCAGAAAACCCTCATGAGTAAATTGATAATCTAACATACTATAATGAAATGAATGCTATTAAATCCTTAATGTATGTATCTTCAGTCAGATTAATTTCGTTGTTCAGAATATGCAAGCTCTCATAAGTTATGGAATTAGTTGAAATGATGTGCTAGTAGTGCATAAGACTCAAAATCTTGAAGACTCAGCACAAAACTCAAAATTTTGTTTTTATTGCAGGTTATCATGCCAAGATTGAATTGGAGGTGGCTTCTAGCCTTGTCCTCTGTACCCTCATTTGCTGTGCTGCTTTTGTTTGGTCTTGCACCTGAGTCTCCAAGGTATTTATGCATGGCTGGTAGGAGTTCCGACGCTCACCACATTTTGGAGAAAGTAGCTCTAAGGAACAGGACAAATCTTCCTTCTGGAATGCTTTTTCCTGATAACAATAGACTAGATAATGAATTTGTTATTCCGGAACATAAACCTCTGCTTCCTTCATCTGCAAACAAAATGCCAGAAGTCAAATCTGGAGGCTCTCCATTTTTTATGCTTTTATCATCAAGATTAATTAAAACTACCTTACTGCTTTGGGTACTATTCTTTGGAAATTCATTCTTATATTATGGGATTGTCTTGCTGACATCGGAGCTAAGTAGCAGGGAAACTAAATGTGGTTCAACGCTCTTGTTTTTACAAAAAGCCGAGGATGCAAGTCTATACATTAATGTATTTATCACTAGCTTGGCAGGTAATGCATCTCTGATATATCTTTTTCTTGTTTTTGTTCCTTATAGTGATCATTGTTAATTACTTTTAACTGTGCGATTGTTATAAAAAATTAACTTAAAAATTCTTTTCCAGAGCTTCCTGGTCTTCTATTATCTGCAGTAATTGTGGACAGAGTTGGTCGCAAGATCTCCATGACGATTATGTCTGTTTTGACTTTTATGTTTCTCCTACCGCTGGTTGTCCATCAGCCTGTAACTTTAACAACAGCACTATTGTTTAGAGCTCGGATGTTCGCCAATGGAACCTTCACAGTTGCCAGTATCTATGCCCCTGAGGTTTTTTTCCTGGTTTTCTTATTTATGCTCTTCAAGAGGCCCCAGTCTTTTATTTTCTTACTTCTAATGTCTTGAGATTAATATTGTATGACTCCAATATTTTTTCTCCAGGTATCAAACTTTTTACACCGTCCCATAAATGAGGATTAGTTTACAACAACAGTGCCTGAATAACATTGAAATCCAATGTCTTGACATTAATATTGTATGACACCAATATTTTCGCTCCAGTTATCAAACTTTTTACCCCTCCGCCTTTTTTTTGGCAGGTATATCCAACATCTGTGAGGGCAAGTGGTTGCGGCATTGCAAGTGCAATGGGAAGAATTGGAGGGATGGTATGCCCGCTTGTGGCGGTGGGAATGGTGAGTGGTTGCCATCAAACAGCTGCCATATTTGTGTTGGAGGTTGTAGTTGTTGTTTCAGTAGTATGCATACTGCTCTTCCCATTTGAATCTAAGGGACGAGAATTGGCTGACACAGCATAACATAAGGCTTTAATAACATAAATGTAAGTTTTTATGATTATGTTCATCAAACCTGATCCTGCAATTCAAGCTTCTTAAAGATGTATAACGTGGCTTTATGATGAGCAAATTTGTTTTACAAACCAATGGTTATATTTGACTTACTGCCAAATTCAAATTCATTGAACTTGGAACACACACACACAGACACACACACACACATATATATATTGAACTAAGAATAAAACAAAAATTTGTATTAAAAAATTGTTTCTCTAAATGACGAAAAAAATAATATTTAAAGTTTTAAGAGTAAAAGTATATTAATAATATGCTTTCCATTATCTACAAAATATTTTTGTTACTTTAAGTTATTAAAAAGAAAATAAAAAACGATTATGTTGCTTTGCTTGTAAGCAATATATTTTTGGAATGCTTGACAAGAAGTAAAAAGGTACTAATAAAACTATGTGCACTAACCAATGTGTACTAATCTAAGTACTAACATTGGAAATTTGAAATTTCCTCCAAAAAAAATTTCAAATTTCCAATGTTAGTACTTGGATTAGTACACATTGGTTAGTGCACATAACATTACTCAAAAGGTATTTTGTTTTAGAGTAAACGGCCTTTTTTCACCCAAGATTTGCTTTAATGACACTTTTCAACCCAAAAAGTTTCAAAATATAGTTTTTCCACTCAAAGTTTATATTTTGACTAATCGTCGGCCTATTCTGACATCTTCACCACTCTACATCATCATCATTTTCTTTCTTGATCATTATTCACAAAACCTTTCAAACCTTGCTCTTGTCGACCCTGTCAATCGTCAACACTCGAGCGATTTGTGAAACGTGCAACTACTCCTCCTAAGTTAGATTCTGACAAATCTTGACCACTAAAAGACAATCTGCCACCACCAAAAAACTCACTGAAATTCTCATTTCAAAAGCTCCAATATCCTATATCAAGTTTGTTTTCTGTTGGCCACCGAATCAGAATGTGTATTATGAACAGTAAACATAATATAGGTTTCGTTTGGTTGCCAATTGGGAATACTACTTTTAGTATTCCCAAAAAAGTTAAACAATAAAATACCAAAAAACTCATAATATTATTCAACTTTTTTTAAACCCCCTAAATTTGTTAATTTAATTAAATACTCCTAAATATTTTTTAAAAAATTGTAAAAACATCCCAATAATCCACATTTACCAGATTCTGGCCACCACTGTCGAAAAATGACCGGAATCTGGTAGGATGACGCACTACCGGCTAAATCTGGTCAGTAGTGTGCCGATCTAGCCTTTTCCGGCCAGATCTACGGTGGATCTGGCTGGAAAAGGCCAGATCTAAGGCCAAAGATCTGGCCGTCTGTAACCAGTCGGCAACGACGACCATTTGTTGGCCATCGTTGACGAGCAAATACGGCCAGATTTGGCCGTCAATGGCCAAATCTAGCCATAAATCTGGCCTTTGTCGGCCAGATCCACCGTGGATCTGGCCGGAGGAGGCCATATCAAAGCACGACCGGCAAGATCCAGCCGGTCGTGCGTCGATACGGTGACTCCGGCCATCTTTCGACAGTGGTGGCTGACTATCCGTATTTGAGGGTGGGTTAAGGGTGTTTTTGTTAACTTTTAATGTTTTATTATAGGGGGTATTTTATAAAAAGCCAAATATAGGAGGTATTTTATAATTTGTAAATCCTACATCGTAATACCTGTCCAATTTAATTTTTTTTCAAAAGACTTTTCTCAAAAATATAAAATTGTGAACCAAACATAGTCATAAACTTTAGGTGAGAAAATGGTATTTTGAAACTTTTTGCATGAGAAAGTGTCATTGAGATAAACCTTGGGTGGGAAAAAGTTGATTAGTCTTTGTTTTATTAATAAAGTGCTACGGCCTATGGCGCATTCAACCAAATCAACATGCACCACATAACCATATACCTATCCACGCAGCGCAGCAACCCATTAAATAATAAAATAAAATCAAAACCCAGATGAGAATTTAAACTTCCGAGTTCCGACATACCCAGATGGTGTTTTGGGGCACTTAAGTTGGTAGGTAGGGAGTCTTCGGCTTCGTGATTGTTTCTGGTGGTGATGTGATACTATTATTTTGTTTGGATGGGGTTATTATATCGAAATATTGAGATGAATTTGTGTAAATTGGATTTCAAATATTCAGATTAACTATTACATGTCTCTTAAATTCAAGGAATGATTGCTAGTTTTTTACAATTTAATTTTAACAAGAGTCAAAAGTGTCCATTTGGACAATCATATCATTGACCTGTGGTTGCAATATCTCTGTTTTTTAGCCAATAAATGAGTATTAGTATAGCTTAATACAAACAAAACATGTCCCCAATGAAGTTTTCTTTTACTATTTTATTTTTACTTATCTATTTCACTATCGCCTTAAAACAAATTCCTTGTTCTATAATGCAGGACTGATATCATGAATGTGTTCTCTGTCCAATTTGTTTGGTGGTTTCTCACTTTTAATACCTGCAAACCCTCTTGTTTCTTGAAAATTCTATGATTTAGCCATGCTGAATTCAATCTTTATTCAACGTGGAAGCCTATAAAATGTAGATGTGCTTGTGGGTATTTTCATTTTTCAAGTGTTGTTGAGATGGATGATGAGAGGCTTGTGTACTCGGTTGATGAAGCGTTTACTTATGTGGGGTTTGGGAAGTATCAGGTTGTTGTTCTTCTTTATGCCGGGCTTGGATATTTGGCAGAAGCTATGGAAATTATGATTCTGTCTTTCATAGGACCTGCAATTAAGTCAGAGTGGAGACTTTCACCTAGTCAAGAATGACTTTTAACAACTGTTGTATTCGCTGGCTTGCTTCTTGGTTCATATTCGTGGGGCTTTATTTCTGATAACTATGGTAGAAGGCATGTTTTTTCACCCATAATCCTCTTTGTTCTTTATGCTTTGTTGACAATTTAATTGATATTTATATAAGAAGATAAAGGTCATAATCAATCAACTTTTTTTAAATTATTCAGTGTATTGCTTCTAAACTTATCAGTTGTGATGAGTATTCAGGTTTTCATTCTTTTGCCTTGGTAAAAGAACATGCTGTGTTCACTTGCTTCTGGAAATTAAAATATCTGCATAATGAATTTTGAAATATTCTTATGGAATTGTTTTAATCAGAATTGAAAATCTTTTCTAAGGTAGTTGAACTTTTAGGGCCTTTTCTAGGTAATCTGAGAGTAGTTCATTTCTTTATTGTTGGGAAAGTAGAAGCAACATAGATTATTTTGTGAAGGTACTGGTTCCTTGTTGAAATTTCTATTACTCCATTGTCAGTGATCCCCTATGCTTTTGATTACCTTGGCCAATCTTATTCTGATTTATTTATTCACTTGCCTTTTACAGGAAAGGTTTTCTTGGTGTAGCTCTGGTTGCTAGTGTGACTGGGTTAACGAGTGCTTTCTCCCCAAATTATATAACACTGGTGACTCTTCGTGGTTTGGTTGGTTTCGGACTAGGCGGTGGGTCTGTATTTGTATCCTGGTTTCTAGAGTTTGTTCCTGCTTCCAATAGAGGCATGTGGATGATTGTCATGGAACTTTCTTGGACACTTGGAACAATATTTGAGGCTTCACTTGCTTGGGTTTGTTCCTTTATCCTTCATCAGTTCTTTTTCTTTTTCAATCTGAGAGCAGCTATTGCTCTAGACATATATAAGTTTTTCCAAAATAGGTTTAGCTTTGTTATCATCATCTGTTGTTGTTTCTTGATTAAAATAGGTTTTTGTTCATCTTCATTATTGATCAGATTGCTTTCAAGTTTGGAAAGTTGGTATATGGACTCTCTGTTTTTCTAGGAGTGACTGTTTCTTTCTTTTTTTTTTTTTTTAATTTCGAATAGAAACTCTTGATTAATATGAATTTAATTTTGTCCTGAAGTTGTGTTTTGAAGATGCCATTATGTTCCTTGTTACTTTGAAGCAATTACTTGTGAAATTATGTACTAATGTGATCTATTTGATATTATTTTTGTTAATTCTTGATCAGTTGCAGAGAATCTGATAAATACATTAAGATGTTAATAAAAGATTTTCTTCATGTGGCAAGCATAGGGGTAAACTAGAAAGGAAAATTGCTGCCAAGATGCCTATTAATCATAATGAACTCCTTGTGAATTTAACTAATCTACTGTAAAGAAAATGAATGCTTAACAATTTTAATATGTGTATAATCTTTCAGTTTGAATTTTGTTTTTCAGAATATGGAACTCTCTTTCATATATTGTGGAATTAGTTGAAGTGATATGGTAGTGACAAAGACTGGAAAGACTGAGCATAAAACTTCAATTTTTTATTTGTTCTTAATTGCAGATTGTCATGCCAAGATTGAATTGGAGGTGGCTACTGGCCTTGTCATCCCTGCCATCATTTGCTGTGCTTCTGTTGCATGGTCTTGTTCCAGAGTCTCCAAGGTATTTATGTATGGCTGGTCAAACTGCTGATGCTCATTGTGTTCTGGAGAATATAGCTCTGAAGAATGGGAAAAAACTTCCTTCTGGAATGCTTTTACCTGATAACATTGCTAGACTAGATAATGAATTTTCTTTTCCGGAACATAACCCGCTGCTCTCTTCATCTGCAAACAAAACAACACAATTCAAATCTGGATTCTCTCCAATTTATAGCCTTTTTTCATCAAGATTAATTAGAACTACCTTTCTGCTATGGGTACTATTCTTTGCACAGACATTCTTATATTATGGGGTTATATTATTGACATCAGAGCTAAGTGTCAAGCAAAGTGAATGTGGCTTAGCACTCTCATTGCAAAATGCAAGGGATGCAAGTCTATACATTGAAGTATTTATCACTAGCTTGGCCGGTAATGCATGTGTTATATCCGCTTCTTGTGTAAGTTCCTTGCAGTCAATGACTGATGATTTTTTAACAACTAACAATTGACATAAATTTCTTTTCTAGAGCTTCCTGGGCTTCTTATATCTGCAGTAATATTGGACAGAGTTGGTCGCAAGATGTCGATGACAGTTTTGTCTGTTTTGACTTTCATATTCCTTATACCACTGGTTATCCGCCAGGAGGTCACTTTAACGACTGGATTATTATTTGGAGCTCGAATGTTTGTCAATGGTTCTTCCACAGTTGCCTGCATCTACGCCCTAGAGGTTTTCCCTTGGTTTCCTTAAACTCTTTATGTGATCCGATCTTTAATTTTCCTACTCTTTGGAGCATCATTGCACATGTTTAACTATTGACTTCAAATAGAAAGGTTTTCTTCTAGACATAAAAAATGTAACTTGCATAGAAAATGCAAGATTAAAGTAGCAAGCTTTCATGTATATGCACTAATGAGATGTTTGAACATATTTATTATTTCGCTTTGTTAATCCTCCGTTAAGATTGTTTGAATAGCTTTGCTGTTCCTTTCGCTGTTGGGTTTTTATTTTTGTAGGTATATCCAACTTCTGTGAGGGCGACTGGTAGTGGCATTGCTAATGGAGTGGGAATAGTTGGTGGTATGATATGCCCTCTCGTGGCAGTTGCGTTGGTGACTGGTTGCCATCAAACAGCTGCTGTAATTCTCTTGGAGATTTTAACTGTTCTTTCGATTGTATGTGTACTACTGTTACCATTTGAAACGAGGGGACGCGAATTGGCTGATACTCTGTAACATAGCTTTGATTTGTTATCTCATTTATGTTAAGTTTTTATGATTATGTTCATCAATATCTTAGCTTATATTTGCAATTCAAGCTTCATGAAGATTTAATTAGCATATGGGAATGTAATCTATAAATTGTCATCTAAAATGAACCTGGCAAAGTGGTTGAGTCCTAGGTTGACCGGCGGGTCAAACCAATGTCTAAAAGTTTGAAATCCAACAAAAACACCCCTAAAAACTACATGTAATTCTCTATAAGCTTAAAATCTTACAATACACCTCAAACACCACCGTCGGCGTCGACAATCTAGGACAAATAAGGCCTATTTTCGACGACGACAATACTCTCCATTACCACGAAAACACTCTTCTTAACCTCTTTATCAAAACCTATCTCACCCCTCCCTTGTTTGTCTTGCAAATCATTGGCAACAACCTGCTGTTGTCATTGATTTATTTTGGTGATTTTTTCGATTGATTCACTCACCAAAAATCACCTCCGTCAGTACCTTTTCACTTACTGGCTCTTCCTCTTCAAAACTTCCAACATTTCAACCTTCAGTAGTTCTTCGATTATTGTCCTAATTTTTAGGGTTTTTGATAAATAGTAAAATTGGTAACCCGACCTGGTGAAGCGGGTTCCAATTAAATCGGTTCAATCAGTCGGGTCAGACTGGGTTTTAAAACACCGATTATATGTATCAAACTTACAATTCATGGTCTATCTTGAATTAACGGAGAAAGAATGTCTGTTAGTTAATTATTTATCATAGGATTTCTTGTCTTATCAAGCTATTATCATGAGAGAGCAATCTACTATAACGGGACTATTTAAATCGTTGTATATAAAGGCTCACATTATAGGTTTACTCATTGTCAACTACCACTTTTAGCTTAGACACTCTTTTATATTCTCTTTTATGAATATTTGACCAAGTGTCGAAGTGTCTACGCTTGTATACACCTAATATTAGTTAGTGGTTGGAGATAAGTTAACTTGTAGGTTCAGGCAATAGGTTCGATATTTCTGGGTACCTAGTTCAACGCGTCCTGAAAAGGTCGGCCTTTACTCGATGTTTGCGGGCTTGAGCTTGAGTCTGAGCCTGATTTTAAGGCCCGACTTCTGGTACGGGCCGAGTCTGGGTATGTCTTCTGGCCTGGCCCGGCCCGGCCCGACCCGACCCAATAATTTTAGTATTAATTATACTAAATTATCCTTATACTATATATTTAATTACAAGATTATCTTACATATATATACTCATTTTTCCCAAACCCTACATGGATGGATGGATACACTTTGTAGAAAGTTATTTATATATTTGGTGAGTATTCAAAAATAAATTAATATTTAAAAATTGTTTCTAGAATTAAAAATATAAAAAAATTGAAATTTATTAATATTTAAAAATTCATATTATAAAAATGGGCGGGCTTAGGCCGGGCTGGGCTTGAGCTTTACTTTTCATACCCGTGACGAGTCCGGACTGGGCTTGGGCCTTTGTCATGAGGTTGGGCTTGGACCTGGGTCAAAGGATACCCGGTCCCGACCTAGCCCATTGCCATCACTATTGGACAACTAAGAGGAAATGAGTTCATTGAAGTAGAGAGAAGCAAAAATGGGGAATTTCGACCTTAAATAAAATCATCATTAACAGTATAATTGAAAGAGTCTTTCCTTCTAATATTATTAGATGATAATATAATGCTCTAGTCTCACTACAATAATTGCACATATTCTAAAACCAATGGCACGTTTTTGATCTCTGATTTTATTTTTTTTATTTTTTTTTTGGGAAGAGGGGTGGGGGGGGTGGCCGCGCGGGGCGGGGGCGGTGGTTTATCTAATTGAATCTTTTCAAATCAATTCCTTGAATAAATTGTAGTTTTATTTTAGGATTGTTGTAACTTGTCCCATAATTACTTAAGAATTAAGATTAACATTAGAAATAATAGATTTAAAAAATAATCCATGAGGTGTTTGTTTTGTTAAATTTTAAAATCACTTTCGATTTTAAGAAGGAGTGATGCTATTTGGCCCTTATTTTTTTATCTTATTAAACCCTATTTCTAAATAAACTCCATTAGAGTTATAGATTTATGTAAACGTTTAAGCAAACCCCATTTATTTCAAAATTAGCCTTAATATTCATGTTATCCCTAATTTATTATAGACTAGTTTTACTTCTTCTTTTTCATGAGATCGTTATTATAGCATAAAATCGTACAGGAAGTTTTTACCAATATCAAAGATGTCACCAAATTTAACGTTTTAAATAAACAGAAGATGCTAATACAGTACAACATTTCATCACAAAGAAATTTAAGTGCTAGCAATCAATGAAGCTAGCTTAAAGATACAACCGGATAATATAATATTTATAAAGAGAAAAGAAAAAAACCATAGAATTTAACAGATAGATGTATAGAGTTGTATTATTTTTGTTTTTCATAAATTCCATCTTCATTGTTTAAAAAAGGTAATATATAAACTCATGAAAGGGAGTACGTATATTTTAAATTAAATTTCCATGATGAATATGGGAAATATGAGATTTTCGGAATAATAATACAATGATTTATCTTGTCAATGAGATTTTTATAATGTGTTAAGGATAAAATTGTAATTATAATAAGAATAACAAGAGGGGTCTAATAAGATTATTTTATGGGGTGCCAATAGCATCATTCTATAAGAAATGAGATATAACTAGGGGTGGGCGGGTTTGGGTACCCGCCCAAAATCAAAGGAACCGGAACCGAAACCGGAATCGGCTGGTTCCTTTGATTTGGAACCAGAACCGTCGGTTCTGGTTCCAGGTACCCTGGAAAATATCAATTATCCACTTTTTTTTTTAAAATAACAAATAAACCCATATAAAATTATATTACACCCCTCACAATTAAGTGCAAAACATTAAATAATTTGTTTATATTTGCTTGACTTTTGATACTTGATTATAGTACAGTAAAACCTCTCTATAATAATACTCTATATAGGAATAAACTCTATATAGTCATAAAAAATTTTATTCCCAATTTGGGATAATTATAAATAAGAATAAAAACTCCACATTGTAATAAATTATAATTTTTCTAATTCCCGTCTTAAGGAAAGTTACCTCCACATAGTAATAATTATCTATATATTGGAAAAAAAAATATGGTATGTTACATTAAAGGTTTAAGATGAAATAAAATATTTATCTGAAGTTGTTTAAGACAATAATTTATGCTTTAGAGTTGTTATTACATCTTTTAACTTGGGGATACATTACTCGTTAGTATGAATATTATCTTGTTAAAGCCAAAACATTTCTAGCTTCTCAAGCATGTTTAGAGCTTCTTAACATGAAACTTTTTGTATTTCCGTACTATCATCCTCATAATTATTTCTTTTCTCTTCTTGTTTAATTGTAGAAATGATTTCTTTTTTTGTTAAAACATACATAACTTGTTACTCATTTGGATGATTAAAGAAAACATTAATATTCATTCGATTAATATAGTGAAATTTTCGAATCTGATCACTCAATTCTACAATGACTCTTTGATTCTCCTCATCCACTTCATTTGTAACTTGCAATTCATTGACATCGGGGGTCCTAATTTTGTAATGCTTAAAACAATTGGTAATTGTCTGTGGCTTCACATCAATTGCCATGCAGTAACTGCATTTACAATTCCATCAAGGACAATTATCTTTGTTGGTTTCAAAACACGATCTTTTATCATTTTCAAAAGTAGGCAATTGAAGCGCTGAATTAAAACCTTAATATTATTAAAACATGAATTGAAATCCTATTATTGTACTACTAAAACATGAATTATGAAATAAGAAATTTTTTTAACTATATCTCTATTAAGTTATAACTTCTTCATAGTAATAAAATTAGTTAGTCCCATCATTATGACTATAGAGAGGTTTTATTGTATTTAATTGTTTGTTTTCACCGATAATAAATATTTAAAAACTATTATTTAACGTAAATATCTTAATATATATTAATTTTTTAATCAAGTAATAAGTGAAACTTAAATATTAATAAAAATATTTTTAAAAACTGATTTTTTAATGAAAATTAATAAAACTTTTGATACTAAGATGAAAAAACCAAAATTTTCTTATATATTTATATGATAGGTAAACTATTAAGTAATCATACTATAAATTTTTAATATAATATTATAATTAATTAAATTTTTAATCATTTAATTAAGTTTATATTAATATTTATAATAAAATGTTATAATTGACTAAGTAATTATACTATAAATCTATAATGTAATGCTATAATTAATTAAATTTCTAATTATTTAATTAAGTAATATACTAAATGTTATAACTTATAAGTCAATTAATTAAGTAGTAATCAATTAACGTAATGCTATAATTAATTATACTATAAATCAATTAAGTAATATTATAAATTATAATTAATTAAGTAATCATTTATCTATAATGTAATGTTATAATTGATTAAGTATGCTATTCAACTAATAATTAAATTTATTAATGTTTATCAATTTATCATGTATAATTAATTAATTACTAATTTATTATAGATATACTATGAACTTGATAATTTAAGTAAATAACTAAATATATTATTACTCAATCAAATATACTATTTTATTCAAAAATAATTTTTTTAATAACATTATAAAAAAAAACCCATATGCAAAATATCAAAAAATCATATATTCTTTAACATTATACCAATTTAGTCCTGGTTCCCGATTCCGGTTCTGGTTCCTTTGATTTGGAATAGGAATCAGAACCGCACAGTATCGATTCCACTTTTTTTGGAACTAGAACCTACCCTATTACGGTCTGTTCTGGGTAGGAACTGGAATCAATACTCGGGTACTCGTTAGTTCCGGTTCTACCCTAAAATTTTGCCTAGCCCTAGATATAACCCATGCAAAAAAGACCAAAATAAGTATTTTTTAAATAATTTTTTATATATTATTAATCATATTAAAATTTAATTCTTTAAAATAAAAAAAATTTAAAGTTTTAAAAGTTGAAAACTGGCCATTGGTGGCTGGGACCGATTA